ATTTGTAAGAAACCACACTGCTTGGATCTGCAAATATACCACACTGATACATTATACCATGCTAAGGTCTTGGGAAGGGCTTGATGTGTATGAAGGCCATCATCAGTTAAAGCTTTGCATGCTGGTAGCTCCTGGAGCTGGCTAGTGTGTACCCAGGACCTGTGGGTAGCCAGAAAGGACTGAGGCGGAGACGGGAATAAAGGCTAACAAGTTTATTCCCTCAACAGAACAAGCTAACAGTTCAGAACCGGCTTTTAAACAGGAATGCAGCCGCTGCTCGTTGGACAGCTCCCTATTTATACAGGAGCTGTCAAACGATCAGCCAATCAGGTGTCGAATTGCTTCCCGCTTAAACTCTTTGTTTTGGCGGCTGCTCAGAACATAACAGGTCGACTTCTGTTTTCAAAGAACTATTCTACTGAGGGACTTAGTTCATTGGTTTGGAAAACATAATAATGGAGGGAAGCAAATTCCATGGCTTTTCCAACATTTTTTACCAGCAGTAGCTACAAGAGGCATCTCTATGTAACAAAGATGCATATAGTGTTTGTGTGTCTTTTGTATTTCTGCTTTCCCTCAGATTGTATCTGTGTGTTTGTCATATTGTGTGCACTGGGAAATATAGGTTGCATATTTTCTGCTTTGAGTAATGTGTGGAATTTCAAGCAATTTAATAGTTGCTTTCTCAAAAATGTAAAGCAAGACAGAATTATAGCAGGGAAACGGAACTCATGACAACAATCTGATATTAAAACTGAAATATCATGTGTTATATTGTTAAGGAAGGTACAGAATGAGGCAGCAAGAAGGTGAAATATTGGTTTTGGGGAGATCTTATGTAATTTTGACCAACATAAATAGAAATGCATCTGTAGCCTTAGTGCAATGCTTTGATACAACGGAATTAATGAAGGCGGAGCAACAAATATGGTCAAAAACTTAGGACTATCTTTTTTTTTTTTGCACACTGGATTTACAAAAAAATCCACGGATAAAATCAGGCTCATAGTATTGCAAATTTAAGTGCCTATTTCAAAGCTCAATCTTCCTCCAGAATGGAGAAGATGTGCCTATCTCAGGGAACTTGAGGTTTTAAGAAATGCTATTAAGTGTTAAGGGATGCAGTGGCTCAGTTGCTAAGATGCTGAGCTTGTTAATCAGAAGGTCGGCAGTTCAGTGGTTCGAATCCCTTGTGCCGCGTAACGGGGTGAGCTCCCATTACTTGCCCCAACTTCTGCTAACCTAGCAGATCAAAAGCATGTAAAAATGCAAGTAGAAAAATAGGGACCACTTTTGGTGGGAAGGTAACAGCGCTTCAGTGCTGAATCATGCCGGCCACGTGACCACGGAGATGTCTTCGGACAGTGCTGGCTCTTTGGCTTTGAAATGGAGATTAGCATCGACCCCTAGAGCCAGAAACGACTAGCATGTATGTGCGAGGGGAATCTTTACCTTATTAAGTGTTACCTCATTGAAAAGGCCATTTCTGTCTGACTCTATAGTTGTCCAAACTCAGGTTCTTCTCCTTGTTGCTGGAAAAAAAATACACATTGGATGTTTGTCTTTCGCCCTTGGTTTCTCTAGTGGCAATAAAAGTACCGGACTACCAATCCTCTACCATACCTTCTGCCTTCCAAGAAGCACCAGGGTTAATAACAGGAGATAACCAAGCAGGGTTTCTGCTGCGTATGGTTTGCACCCACAATAGATAGCAGCATGATAACCCCCAGAGAGGATTCAAACTGCCTTCTTTCTATCCTTGAGTCAGCAGGACAGACATGAAACATGCTACTGCCAATGTTGATCCTTTTTCTGTCTCAAGCTTCTGTAGCCACCTCCCACCAAGGTAACGAAAATTAAAGAATTTCATATACGTTAAGATTGTCCTTGAACAGTGGGGGGAAAACTACTTTTAACACACTGCAGCTCAGAATGACTCCAAGCTGTCTCAATTATGAGCTGGGAATGAGAAGAGGTCATTGGAGAAATGGTTACAAGTTCCTCCATTTATAGTTTCTCCATTCTTTTCTGCTTTCAAACTACCTGCTGAGACGGGACATTATTTCCCTTGAGATCTATATAACCCACCTGGGACTTTATAGGGGTCGTTAAAGCTTAAGAGTGCACAAATTGGGTAAAAGAAGACACAAGGCCTTTTAACTCCAGTTTTACATTATTGCATGTTTTTTTAAAGAGCTTTTCTTTCCCAGTGTTTAATACAGTACATGGTGAAAGGCAGGATACTGTACGCTTAATAATACTTAGAGTGTTCAATTCTTAGAGCAGTCAACCAAATTAAAGAAATACAAGCATGCATTGGTGCTGATGCTTTTAAGCAGTAAAAACTTTATCTCAGTTGGGAAATGTAGACTTTTTAAGAAGAGTATTCTAATGTCTTACAGATCCATCTTTCTTAATCTCTGTTCTCAAGGCTGTGTAATTCTTTATGTGTATCTCCAAAGTGCACCAAATAAGTACAAGGAGAAATTCATAGCAGTAAATTACACTTTTAGCTGTTGCTCTTGACCTTCATGTGTCTGAGAAAGTATCTAAAACAACATTTAAAAATGGCTTGTGCTGTTTGATCACTGTCAGATAAAAGTAGGGTTGTTTGTTCTTTTTAAGGGAAGCCCTCTTCATGAATGGAGATTAACA